TTTTTTTTTTTTAATCTATTTGTGACTGATGCTGGTAACACACTTTAAAACACTTTTAAAAAGTTCACTCAGCCCACACGCCTCTCCATCCAGGGTTTCAACCAAATGCTGCCTCTTTTTTGGTCTTTTTTTTTTGCAAACATGTCACTGCATATAAACAGCTGCTGGTTGCTTTCCAGGTTTTTTTTTAAAGATTTCCTGAAGATTTAAGCTCCTTCCTGACAATCAAAGATAAAAATAAAAATCAGGCGGTGGAAACGATCTTTGTGTGTCGTTTCTCCGGGCCTTGTAGGTTTTAGCTCTCCAGCGCTTGAACTGATTCCAGCAGTATGTGTGTGATGCCTGGTTGAACTGAGTTGTGGCTCTAAGGATAAGAGGTGCCATTTTCCAGTTAATTGGATAACTATTATCATATTCTTTCCTGGCAAAGAAGTACGTAGCATCAAATTTGAAGCTTTTCTGCTAAATTGAACAGTCATTGTAGCATCAAGCAGAAAGAGCAACAGAGCAGTTGGTGTAATTCTTGTGGGCCCCTAAGAGTTCATGACTGAGTAATCCAAGCCAGTATGTATCAGTGCTCCGCCGCCTGCAGGTCCCAGAGGAGAGATTGAGACTGCCACATCAACACAGGAATGACCTTGTTCCCCCCCGCATCACACAAACACATTACAGCCTGGAAAACCCACACCTGACCTGTGTCACTCAACACGAGCAACACATGCACACACGCTGATCCAAACCAATGCTGCTCTGGCATTTACAGAAGTGTTTGCAATATGAAATTCCTGATGTTCGGGATGCTCTGTAGGGGTATGAGACATTCTCCTTTTTCAAAATAGTAAAAATAAGAGCATGTGCATTTATATCCACTACAGCTGAACAAGAGTTTAACAGGCGTCCTGATCTTAAGCACAACACATATGACCATTCATTTTTAATTCTAAGGAATATGCTTCTTAAACAGATACTCAAATATGACCTAAACCACCATGAAGAAATCTTGGATTTAAGTAAAATGTGAAAAGTGAATTTAAGATTGAGTCACATCTGGCGAATGTGTGCAGAATTTATATCTGTATCATTTATCAC